TGAATGAGGCAGGGGCTGCAGGAAGGCATGGGCTGGAGATCTGGAGAGCCAGTCTATCCCTCTCTTCCCTTTATGATATGGGCATAACCCAACATTCACCAGTGCTCTTGGGGAGAATTGCCTTCATTTCCTAGATTCCTGAAACCTTAACGGGCTGACTTGCGGGCGTCACGGGTACCTCCAGCTGAAGACGACAGGAGGCAGACTTTCCAAGCACACGTAATGCCAAGTGCTCAGAAGTGTCAGGCCCCTGGGTGTCTGAAAGCTGGCACCCAAATGGTTTTGCTTTTAGTTCCTCTGAACCTCCTCTGGCATAGCTAAAACCACCACGCAGCGCTGGAGCTGCTGGGCAAACCCTGCTCAGCTCCGGCCAGGTTGGTCCTCGGTGCCAAGGGCATCTTCAGGGAAACAAGGTGTGGCTGTAATTTGGCAAAAGCAGCTTGTGTCTGTCCTTGGAAGTACTACCCAAGTTCTGTGAGGGCCAATCCTGACACAGGAGCTGGCCACCTCGCGCTTTTCAGGCTCTTGGTCCAAAAGCAAGGCTTTTGTAGGTGCCCCAAATTTGTCTTGGCAAATTGCACGAGCTGCAGCAATGTATTTCTGTCTTGCTGTGTGCTTAGAAACGGTTGGTGTCTTTCTGCTGACATTTACCAAAAATACTCGTCTGAAGGCATATCCTGACATAGAAACTTCAGTCCAAGGATCTCAATGCGATTTTACAAGCTACACTATAGATCTTACAGTCCTGTAGGACCGGCTGTCCTGGGGTGAACAGTCCCCAGAGGATGTAGACGAAGGGGCTGTCTAGCCCGGCCTTAATATGTCCAGATGTGGCCACAGCAGACCCCTCGAAGAGGAAAGCAAACATTTGTGCTGCCTCCCTTGAGTTCCAGCCTCCAACCATTCTCATTTTACAAATCTTCTTAAGCTTGTCGCTTTGGAACCCAAGCCCTGAGTCAGAGACATGAAAATTTCCTCGCAGTCACCACGTCCCTTGGCAAGGAGCTCCTCGTACGAAGAGCTGCTTCCTCCTGCTCGTTTTGAACCTGGCACTTGCCAGCTTCATGTGATGGCCCATCCTTCTTGCTCTGGGAGAGACAGTGAATAATTGCTATTTGTCCCTCTTTCTAGGCCGCTCATCGTTTTGCAGACTTCAATTCCCATGCTGGGAAGTCTCAATCCCTCTGGATAACAACTCTTCTCATCTGAGATCTTGCTTCTCTGTCTTGGAGCCATGCCACACTGCGGTCGCTGACTTCCCCCAGTCGTTCTTTTTCTGTTTCCAGCTGATTTGCTCCCAGTTAAAAACCAGAGTTTCCCACATTAGTGATCTGGCAGCTCCCAGGGGCTTTGTGATAACGGGATCGCCCAGACACGACTCCAGCCTAGGAGTTGGTGTGGTTGAGCAGGCTGCATTCAGGGCTAAGAAAAGACTTCCTCCTGCATCCCAAATCTGTTCCGGTGGTGGATCCAAAGATACCATGTGTGGTTTCTATCGAAAGCTGAAACACACCATAAGGCAGAGGGTTTTACAGACTCCATAAATAGCTACTATTTAGGATGTATGATATGGAGGAGGTTTTAGAAATCAAAATATTTAGAGATTTGCATTATTTGTCTTGGCAGGAAGGAGCAGCCAAGACTGAAATACAAAATCTTCCTTCAAGGAAGGAACAGAGTTGAGGAAAACAGTGAATAGGAGGAATAACAGAGGTGTCAAAACCTCCAAAAATTCCTTTTGCGATGAATGGAAGCAGGAAACACAGCCTGGTATATCTGAAAGGAGAGAGCGTTCATTGAAACTGCCTAGGCACATTTATATTCCTGATAGAAAACATTGATTTTTCAGAATGAATCTTGACGTTTCCATCAAACCCATATTTGAATATTTGCAAGAACATCCAGAACATTCAGCTAAAAGCAGCTCCAAGCTGGGCTGTGTTGGTGGGAGCTGCATCAGCGAGGATGTCTCCAGCTCATTCCCCAGCCTGTTCTCCTCCTCTCCGTTTTATTCTAGTCCCTGGGTGGAGATGTGTAACAGGAATGTTGAAGGTTGGTCTGAATGGGCAAGGTGTGCAAGGGCTGGGTCTGAATGCGCTGGTAGAAAGGGCAGGAGCAGGAAGGTGGCACCTAGGTTAGCAGGTCTTCAGTGCACCACGATCATCTCGTCTCATCTCAATCTGATCTCCGTCTCGTCTCCTATCTCCCTGTGGTTTCCCAGTCTGCCACTCGGTCAGATCTGTCTCCAAGCCTGTTTTGAGCACCCCCAGCCTCAACCTGCCGTCTGTTGCCTCAGGCAGGGGCGTCAGTCTTGGTCTGTTATCTTGAGCATATCAAGCTGTCGTGTGTCTCTTCTCTCAGGCAGCCCGTCCATCAGTCAGGCACGGCCAGCCCCATGGGGATGGGGGTGTGCAAGGGGGCCTGCACGGTCCAGGCAGCTCCTGCCCATACACCCCGCTGCCTGCCTGCGAGCCCAGCTTCACCTATACCTTCCCCAGCATCTCGGGGCAGCAATTGTGGAAAAAGGGTGCCAAGAGCTCCCAGAGGTGGGGTAAGCGTGGGTGCAGGGTGAGGGGAGTCACTCATGGGTGGGCTGGAGGTGCAGCATGGCTGGATTGGGCATGGGGACGGAGGGGATTGCAGTGTCTCTGCTCCAGGCGGTCTGGGAGCCCAGACGGACACACGTGGCGGGAAGAGCTGGAACAGGGAGGCAGACGGAGCGCAGGAGTGCTGTGGATTTGGGATCGTGGCTCGGCACGCGCCTTCCTTCCAGGCTGACGCTGCTCAGGCTCCCTGCTAGGTTCAGCTAGATGCTTCAGCAGCTCCTGGCCGCTCAAGGGGTGGACCAGCAGCAGGCTGACATCTTCCCAGCCCCCTTCTAGGAGGGGTGGAGTGTGGGGGTGAGTGGATCCAGCCCAGGACATTGGTGGTGAGACTTCATGGCCCTGGAGGTGCAAGGTTTCATCCTAGCTTCTGAGCGGGCTCTGGAGCACAGGACAAGGGGGATTATGGAGCAGGCAGGATCCCAGGTGAATCCCGAGATCCTCAGCTGTTCAGAGCGGGATACTGCAAGTCCTTCTCCACCACAGGCAAGTAAAGGCTCAGCCTTTATGGGGGCTGTCTTGATTCACTCTCGCTCTGGGAGGTTAACCCCTCAGCACGATCTGGGATGGCAGCAACCCCATCAAGGGGGAAAGAGAGATGCAGAGAATGGATGTGCCAAGGCCTTCAGTGCTGCAAAGGCAAAGCTGGGGACTGAGCTACCGTGGCTGCAGAGGAACCGTGGGTTACGGGCTGAACGGAGGCTGTGCGATGGGAGATGCCTGTCCCTGCTAAGGAGGTGTCCTTCCCAAAGCTCCACTGGCCTGGGGTCCCAGGGCTCTGGGGGGAAGACCCTCCCCAGCTGCCTGCTCTTCAGGCTTGTACAGGCTCCCTGCCTCCACGGCAGCGAGGCACCCGCGTGTGCTCTCACCCTGGCTCAGTTTTGCTCAGGCGTAGTAGTAACACAGTGTTTTGGTGAAACAAAAGGCTCTGCGTAAAACAAACCCTGCAATGCCGCCTAGCCCACGCTCCCTGACAAGTCTGGCTCACTTTTTCCAAGAGTTTAGTCCCACTGAGATGTGATCGTGGTGTGCATCATGCCCTGGAGCACTTGGGACCCCCAGGCCTGGAATCAGCTCTCCTTCAGCCAGTCCAGGAAAACTTCATTTCCCTTCTGGTTCCTCCCCGGGTTCCTACAAGGCCACCGCTTTGGGCAGTGGTTTCTTTTTTTGGTAATCATCTTCCTCTGTAGAGGAGCAAGATCCCTTTCTTCACTGAACTGTCACGAAAGACAGCCCGCTCGTGTGGCCTTCCCACTGCGTGGCTGTGATTGTCCAGTGCCTGGACACGTTCACCAGCACCGTGAAGACCTTGCTCTTCCTCCGCTCTCCTGGGGCTCCGTCCAAAGCCTTTGCCTGGAAGTCGGCAGAGCCCTTCTGCAGGGATGTAGCATTTCCCCTGCCAGCGCAGTGACACCATTTCTGTCCCAAACAATATCAGCTAAACCGGCAAATCTCTTCTGCATGCGTCCGTGGCTGCTGGGGCAGTGACGAAGCAGTATCAGGAGGGTGTCGATTCTCCACTGCTGGAACCAAATGATCATCTAAGCCAACTCTGCTGTGCCAACGTGGTCGTGAGCTTCTGAAGCACTTTGTAAAGTTCAATGGCTGAGTCTCGTGTCCGTGGATAACGTAGTGCTGTTTTAGCTGTCGCTGGTATTTGTGAAACTGCGATGTAGCGACAGAACCAGTTTCCTAATGACTCGCTGCAAGTGGTGGTGAAGGACAGAAGAGAAACCCGGAGCTGGGGTGGCACTGTGCTCTGCACGCTTGCATACTGGTGGCCTTCTGGGTGCCGTGGAGAAAGCCCCTGTCTCCTTAGGGCAGTGCTGGAAGCGGGGCAGGGCATGGCTGCTCTGTGCCTCGCCGACCCGCGGTGTGGACAGCCGGGGGAGGGCTGCCTGACTCACGGACCCTTCCTGCCCCAGTCGCTGTGGGAGAAGTGAAATGTGCCCAGTTTGTCTGTGATGCAGATATTCTGGGAAACGTGAGTGCATGGCATCTCCATCCCTTGCCATCATGTGACTTCTAGGCGAGAGGTCCATCTACTGCTCTTCTGAATTCTTACTTCTAAGTGCTCTACAGAGTCCTGTGGTCAGGGGAAAGGAAGAGAGGTCATATCCTCTATCATTCCGTGGTATCATGTCATTATATAATATGCCACGTCAGGGCACCACTGTCCTCGGGGCTCTGGGCACTTCCCTCCACGGGACTGCGCGGCACCCTTGACACAGCACTTTTTCCATTGTGTCATGTCTTTCAGCAATGTTTCCGGCACGTTTCCGTCCTCGCTCGCTGTCTCCCTCTATAAAATGGGCTGAACCCAGGGATCCCCCATCAGGCACGGCAAGGGGCACTGCAGCCATCTAGCCGGACAACTTATCTCCACCCAACAGGACCATGAAGACCTCTGCAGCTGCCCTCGCTGTACTTTTTGTGGCTGTTGTCTGCTACCAGGTCTCCTCTTCTCCAGGTAAATCCAAGCTCTCCTCTCCGAGGAGCACTCTCCTCGTTCTTTCTGCTGTATAAGGTCTAGTAATGCTTGGCAGCTCTCCCTTCCAAGCATCTGCTGTGGGAAAGGAGAGGCATGTCTTGCTCTCTCTGGCTTCCTGAGGGAAGGATGGCTGGGGTGGGAGCCCACGGTGGGAGCAGCTCCTCCTCCAGCAGGGACTTTGTGATCTTCTGACCCTGCTTCTTCCTACTGGTGCTTTTCTGGTCTGGTTTAATAAGAAAACTTATCTTCTCTTCCAGTTTCTGTCAACTTTTCTGGTCCCTGCTGCGTCAACTACAGCAACAAACCGTTTCCCTTGAGCCGCGTGGTGATGTATGAGCACACAGGCAGCAACTGCCCCCAGCCAGCTGTGATGTAAGTAGATCTCTTGCCCAAATCCTGGGGGGCCTGCTCCACTGAAGGGTGGCAGCGCCAGGAACCCCCACATCGCACCCCATCCTGGCAAGGGAAATGCCGGGCTGGGCTCTCCTGTGTTAGGAGAACGGCCTGGAAATATCTCAGAGGTCGATCTCACATCCCAGGCAGCCAGTTTCTGGACCTCCCTCTTCGATTTGAGCCAAAAGAGCTTCTGCTGGTCACCCCCCTCATCCCAAGATAGCAGGATCCCGGCAGGACTGTGTCCTTGCTGGGGACAAAGTGGCTTAAATGGCAGACAGCAAGACACCTCTAGTGACATTAAGCCAACCCCTCCTGTCATATTTCCTTGGGGCTGTTCTGCAGCTGTAGAGGTGTCTGGTGTGGTGGGGTTCACCTCCTCTCCTCTCCTCTCCTCTCCTCTCCTCTCCTCTCCTCTCCTCTCCTCTCCTCT